TGACAAAATTGATCTACAAGGTTAATCTTATGACTAAAATGTTCATGGATAGGGGAAAGCAAAACCAATTTAAACCAATTACCCACTCAAATTAAACGCGATTTGAGTAAAACGGCTCAATCTAATTGGTCTATTGGATCAATTGATCCAAAATGTTTGGTCTAATTAGTTTTTTGATCGGTTATTGATTTTAAACTTTTGAACCAATCCACCAACAAAACCAAACTATTATATATATATAATATCTTTTTATATATTAAGAAGAATTGATAGTAAACTTAATTAATAATATATTTAAAATATATTAAGGTATTAGACGTATATATTTGATCCATTGATCCAAAGCGAACCAACCAAACCAATTCCATGTTTGGTGCATTTGTTTATATATATATATATATATATATTTGATCGATTTTTTGAAAGTAATTAATCTATTTAATCTTTAAATATGATAAATCAAATCACGTAATTTCCTCTTTGCTCTACCCTATATATAAAGTAATAATTGGATAACTTAGTCTGCTTTTCAAAAGTAAAAATTGGATGGCTTACTCCCACAAATGGCTTGTTGAAGAGTATACTCTGTTTGCTTATGGCAACATTAGTGAATATCACCTAGAAAATGGGGAGAAAAAGTTCAAAAATGAATTCTTTTTCTTGTTTTGAAAGCTTTTGCATGGCCTTTGTTGATTCTGTCTGTCAATTGTGGTTATGTACTGATACCTCGTACGTAAACAACGCTGGTCGGCTTTCTTGTCTCTTGATGCAGAGGCAGTAATACTACGATTAGTGTGCTTATCTCTCTGCTTGTGAAGGAACGGAGCAACGGTACAGCGTGCCCCCCGTGCTCTTCAACTCGCCTACGTACTAATACTACGACTCTATCAACTTGCCAACCACTAGTTTTTTAATTTAACCAAAAAAATAAAGAAAATAAAATAAACTTGGCAACTACCCAATGAGAAGTAGCCACGAGTTTCAATATTCATCCATGTGTCTAATTTTCTTTCAATTTTTTTATTTTTTACTTTTGTTTATATATTTCGTTTTTGGCACAAGAGGGAGTAGTACGTATCTCTTGTATTCATCCATAATCTGATGAATTTACATTTGAAAATCTGGTAATATTGTATGCCTTGGTATTACTGATCGCATTAAAATGTATAATAATAAAAAATGATATAATTAAAAAAAAAAGAAAAAGAACCAATGATATGTTTATAAATTCTGATATTTATCATCACATTGCAAGCTAAAACTTTTGAGAGAAAAACAAAAGAATTATGGGTACAGGAATTTCGTTGGTATTTTTATGAATGAAATTTTATTGATGGAATTTTTTTATCAATAATAATTTATATTTTTATAATGTCTTCAAATAAAGTTATTTATAAAAAAAATAATGTTAAAAATGAGGCTTGAAATTAAGCTACTGCACATGCATTGATGGTTCATTGTCATCGTCTCTTCCTTTGCCTAAAAAATATATGGCGCACAGGTGCTGGCAAATCAACCAGCAAAGCCTAAGAGCTAAAAGGCAACTATGAGGCAACGAGGGGGGGATATATTTCTTTAATTTGTTGTTATCCTTAGGCCGATCCTATCCATCAGCCACCAATCAGAGCCGTTGAATTGCCAAGTTGCAATAATGGGAGATGATGCTGACATTTGATGGCTCTTGGCTGGTGTTCGACATTTATTTAGTTAATTGATTTGATTAGAAAGTTAGGGTTCAGTCTCAGATACCTGAACGTGTTACTTCCCTAGAGACATGTAAGTGCATGAAAGAATGCCCAAAAAAGAAATAAATTTATAAGGAGATAATAATAAGAGAAAATGGCAATTAAATGGTCTATAATAATTCTCTTACCCTCTTTTAACTGTTATTTGCATTAAAATAGCCAATAGATTATGTATAAATTGACAATTTATATCCATTCGATTGATATTTTTATTATTTGTTTATTATGTGCTTGTAAAAAATAAATAAAAGGTAAATAAAAAAAGTATAAACCATATAAAATTTTTATTTTTTATTTAATGTATAGAGTGTATGTAAATTTTAATCCCATAATGCTAAAAGATATTAGAATTGTACAAAATTATTGTAAGAGGCAATTTATGCTATTACAATTTCTAATAAATCCAAAACTTGCCTCATTGTTGTTAGCTTTTCTTGAAAGAGATAAAGTTTAAGCTTTGAATTTCTCTTGTACTTTCGTCATATATATATATGTAAAAAAAAGGGGAAAAACTATTACTATATATTATTTCTTTAAGTTGCAAATTTTGTTAATTTTTTTTATAATGGAATGATTGTTAAAATGGTTTATAGAGGATTGAGATGGCAATTAACTTGTAGAACTAAGTTTGCCTGGCCCTTTTAATGGGAATAACGATACCTCAGTTGTAGCAGAAAATGTGAACCACAGAAGAAATATGAGAAAGAATATGAAGAAGGAAAGAAAAAAGAATGATTAACTTATTATACATAATGCTTAATGAAGATTTAATTAGAGGATAAGAATACAAAAATGCTTTATAATAAGGTCAAAAAGAATAGATATAGCAGCTAAGAAAGAGCTGCATGAAGGCAACGTGTCATGTCTCTGTCAATCCTTGTGGCCACATGTTGAGAAACTAAGAAACTAAGGAACAAATCCCCTGGGCTCAAGGCACTCTCCCAGCCTCTCTCTCTCTCTGTCTCTCTCTCTCTCGCTGTCCAATTTGTGGCCTGCCTCGCATTCACATGAAAGATTCAACATCTAAAAAGTAGAGGCTTTGGGCAGTGAAGTTTCCCTAATTAGGACCATCCCCAGTGCAGCTGATATGTTTTGGGTCTGTCGTACGATTCAAACCAGGACATGCAATCAAGTAACGGTGGACGTACCCAATTTTCACGCATTTAATTTTCAGCAAAACCGAATGCGGTGAATGAGGAGGAATCCATTTTGTACTGTGCTTGCTGCCACAATCATGCTTCTTTTTTTCACCATTAAAAGAGAACTTTAATATTTACGCGTTTTCCTGGAAAGTGTCATAACAACGCTGCTTTTCATACTAGGTTGATTTTGCATTTGTGGTTTTCATGTGAAGTTCGTAACCAACACGTGAGATTTCAAAAGTATCCTGTACGTTGATTAAATATTTTAAATTTGCATGTTGGAAGAATATCTAAAATAAATTTTAAATTATTTAAAAAAAATTAAATAATTTTTTATTTTTTATTACCTTCAATTGATTTATTATTTTTAATTAAAATATCACTTATCGTATTATATCATATAATATTAAAATGCTATAGTTCATGATTGCATGACATTTTGATGATATAATGACATGATTATGTGGTGTTGACAAGTCATTGTAAATGATGATATAACATGATCATATAATATTAATGTAACATGTTGATATGTCATAATAAAAGATGACATGACATACTAATGTAACATAATGACATAATTACATTTTCATTCTTCACATCATCGTCATGCATATAACATAAAAAATTACAAGTGACATTTTGACTAATGATTAAAATAGGAGCTTTTTTAACTCAAAATAAATAAATAACGATTTAATTGAATATAATAAAAAATAAAAACTTATTTTCATTTATTTAAATACTTAACAAGTTTTTTTAATTATTATACTTTTTTTTTTGGGAATGTAAGCGGCCATTAAATAAGAATTTGTATTTATAAAATGGACGAAAACATATATGCATGACAAATTCAATAATTAAGGTTTAATATGATCCATGTTTTTTTATGGGATTTTGCAAATTTCCTTTGATCAAATTTATATTTATTATATTGACTAGGTTTTCTCTAAGTACACTTCCAACAGTTTTGAATTCTATGTATTGAAACAAACCTAGTTCTTGTTCAGAATTTATTTACATATATATATATATATTAATAGTTTATGAATTTGGATATCCTCTTTACACATGAGGTTTGGAAAAAATGTAATTTATGTTGAGATATATTCATGGTAATCAATTCTGGGCATTAGGCATAATTAGTTGTGTTGTCTACGTGGATCTAATCCAATCCCTCAAAAGTTGAATATTGCCCAGGGTTGGAAGCCACCAGTATACCTTCCTTTACTTTGTCCAGCGATGATTGTGGTGTGGGGAAGACTGCACTATCCCTTCTCCAATTGGCCATTGCTGTCTGCTGGGGAGCATGGCCATGGTTGTACCGTCAATTATTTCTTTGATTCACTTCATTGGAAGGTTGAGCAGACTTGGTATAGACTTTAGAACATTATGGCAAAACAGCAAAGCGAGCAGAGCATTTAAGCTAAATCATTTCTGTGATTGGGAGCTCATCACTGTGCTGCTCTTTTTAATCTACACTATCAAACTCTATTCCTTCCTTTATTATCTTTTGGTTCAAATCATAGTTTACTTTTATTTTTTTTTATATACAATATAACTCCTTTTACTTAGAGTTAAAACAAGTATAGAATTATTTATTTATTTATTTATTTATTTATTTAGATTCTCTTTTGCTGCTTGTTTTTTACTTTTCGGGGAGTTGTTACAAAACAAAAACAAAGAAAATAAAAATTTATATTAATTAAAATGAATTTATCATTCGTTCAAATATATTATTCATTTTTTTCATGTAAACATTTTTTCTGATAAAAATTAAAAAAAAAACAATTGGACTGGGATTAAAATATTTAGGGGCAAAAAATGGAGATTAAAAATAGTTAAAAAAACATGTTAAAACCTTTTCTGGATAGGTTTTTAAGCGGAATCTAAAAAAACTCTGGATAATGAAGCCCTTCTGATTTTCATCAGGATTATTATGCTCTTAAGGCGCAAACAGCTTGATGGGTCCAATGATGGCCCAAATTAGATGCCAAGTGAGTCCAAGTATTATTTAGGAAAAACCGAAACAAAAGGAGCCCATGACTGGTCTTCTTGAAGACGTCGTCGTTTAAGATCTAAAGCAGGTTCTCTGCTGATTAGACAAATCGTTGTTTACCTTGTTCTCCGTCTAAGCTTCGGAAACCACCGTCCTGGCAATAGCAATAACCGATTTATCTCCCGAAAAGGCTAGAAACTAGTACGTATTTACCCTTCTTCTTTTCCACCCAAAAAAACAAAACATTTAAGAGTGGAGAGCTTAATCATTAATTTTTTTTTTGAAAAAAGAATTAAGTTTTTAGGGTTTTAATTTTCGGACAGTGATCCGAAAGCCGATCCGTGATCGAGAAGGGAGAATGTATCAGTGGAGGAAGTTCGAGTTCTTCGAGGAGAAATTGGGAGGAGGGAAATGCAAAATCCCAGAGGAAATCAGTGGAAAAATCGAGTGTTGCTCCAGCGGCAGAGGAAAGCTGGTGATCGGCTGCGACGACGGCACTGTAAGCCTCCTGGACCGCGGCCTCAACTTCAATTTCGGCTTCCAAGCTCACTCTTCTTCCGTCCTCTTCCTCCAGCAGCTCAAGGTAAAAAAAAAAAAGAAAGAAAGAAAAATTATTTTCTTCGCAATTTAAGTTCATATTATAATAACTTTAATTGATTGATTGATTGATTGATTTTTTTTCATTTTTTGATAAATTAGCAACGAAATTTCTTGGTGAGTATTGGAGAAGATGAGCAAATATCACCGCAACAATCAGGGATGTGCCTGAAGGTATTTGATCTTGATAAAATGCAGCCGGAAGGATCGAGTACCACTAGTCCTGATTGTATTGGAATTTTGCGTATTTTCACCAATCAGTTTCCTCAAGCTAAGGTATTTTTTTTTTTTGGCTCTGTAGTTAATAGCAAAGAGTAGTAAAGGCTAAAAGCAATGACCAAACTGAACCTTAGCTAAATCAACTCGTGGAATACCTTAGACTAGAGTTTATATTATTTTTAAACTCTTAATGGGAGTCCGTGTGCATTGCAGATCACATCATTTTTGGTCTTAGAGGAAGCTCCGCCGATATTACTTATAGCCATTGGGCTAGACAATGGTTGCATTTACTGCATCAAGGGAGATATTGCACGTGAAAGAATAACCCGCTTCAAGCTTCAGGTTGATAGTGTTTCTGACAAAGGAAATTCACCGATTACAGGACTAGGTTTTCGATTGGATGGTCAAGCCCTTCTATTGTTTGCTGTAACTCCAAATTCAGTAAGCTTGTTCAGCATGCAGAACCAACCTCCTAGGCGGCAAATTTTAGATCAGATTGGATGCAATGTCAATAGTGTCACAATGAGTGACCGCTCGGTATGCATTTTTCATGCCCTATTTTTTTTTATTGTGCCTTGATAACCATAATATGTTATCTTAGAAAAAGAAGTGTTTCCCTGTTGTTTTCTGATTAGGAGTTGATAATTGGTCGACCTGAGGCTGTGTATTTCTATGAAGTAGATGGACGTGGTCCATGTTGGGCTTTTGAAGGAGAGAAGAAGTTTTTAGGGTGGTTTCGTGGATATTTATTATGTGTTGTTGCAGATCAAAGAAATGGCAAGAATACTTTTAATGTTTATGACCTCAAGAACCGGTTAATAGCACACAGTCTAGTGGTTAAAGAAGTTTCTCACATGCTTTGTGAATGGGGTAATATAATACTTATAATGACTGACAAATCAGCTTTGTGTATCGGTGAGAAGGATATGGAAAGCAAGTTAGATATGCTCTTCAAGAAAAACCTTTACACTGTAGCTATCAACCTTGTTCAAACTCAGCAAGCTGATGCTGCTGCAACTGCTGAAGTATTGAGGAAGTATGGCGATCATCTATATAGCAAACAAGACTATGATGAGGCTATGGCTCAGTACATCCTCACCATTGGTCACCTTGAACCTTCATATGTAATACAAAAGTTTCTGGATGCACAAAGAATCTACAACCTTACAAATTACTTAGAAAATTTACATGAGAAGGGGCTTGCCTCTAAAGATCACACTACCCTTCTGTTAAACTGCTATACAAAATTGAAAGATGTCGAAAAGCTGAATGTGTTCATTAAGAGTGAGGATGGTGTTGGGGAACATAAATTCGATGTGGAGACTGCTATAAGGGTCTGCCGTGCTGCCAATTACCATGAACATGCCATGTATGTTGCAAAGAAGGCAGGCAGACATGAATGGTACTTAAAGATTTTGCTTGAAGACCTCGGCAGATATGATGAAGCATTGCAATATATTTCAAGCCTTGAACCAAGTCAAGCTGGGGTGACAGTGAAGGAATATGGGAAGATTCTCATCGAGCACAAACCAGAAGAGACAATTGATATACTCATGAGGCTTTGTACTGAGGATGTAGATTTGGCTAAAAGTGGAACCTCAAATGGTGCTTACTTATCTATGTTGCCATCTCCTGTTGATTTCCTCAACATTTTCATCCACCATCCACAATCTCTTATGGATTTCCTTGAAAAATATGCTGACAAGGTAAAAGATTCTCCTGCTCAAGTAGAGATTCACAACACACTCTTGGAGTTGTACCTGTCTATTGATTTGAACTTCCCTTCAATCGCCCAAGGTAACAATGGTATAGATTTTAATCTTAAAGTGAAACCAGCAACACCTGCAACATCAAGGGCAGTGTATAATGGGAAGTTAACTGTAGATGGTAAGAATTCATATTTTGAAAAGGATACTCTGGAAAGGCGTGAGAGAGGGCTACGCTTGCTTAAGAGTGCATGGCCATCTTACCTGGAACATCCACTTTATGATGTTGATCTCACTATTATCTTATGTGAGATGAATGCATTTAAAGAAGGTTTATTGTATCTCTATGAGAAGATGAAGCTTTATAAAGAAGTGATTGCTTGTTACATGCAAGCTCATGATCATGAGGGATTGATTGCATGTTGCAAAAGGCTAGGGGATTCTGGTAAAGGTGGGGATCCCACCCTTTGGGCAGATCTTCTAAAGTATTTTGGGGAACTTGGGGAAGATTGCTCTAAAGAAGTGAAAGAAGTATTGACCTATATAGAAAGGGATGACATCTTGCCTCCCATTATCGTCCTTCAGACACTTTCAAGGAATCCGTGCCTCACACTATCTGTTATTAAAGATTACATTGCTCGGAAACTTGAACAAGAATCAAAGCTGATTGAAGAGGACAGACGGGCTATAGAGAAGTATCAGGTTGGTGTACCAAGTTGCTTTCAATGATTTTTCATGTTACAAGGTTTATTACATCTCTTTCAGTCTCCTACACGCAGTGGAAGGTGGTCATTGATCCGTTAATAGTTTCAGGAATTATTTATCTAGAGAATGTGGCCATTAAACATTCCATATCATACTACATCTAAAAAATACATATATTAAAGTATCATGAAGAGATTAAAACAATATTTTCTAAGCATGTGAGAGAACAGAAGACAAATTAATTATAATTTAAAACAACAATGCTGCAATGGATAATCTTTGCTGCCCTTTGCATCATTGCAGTTATTTAGTTTCTTTGATGGAAATGATTCATATATATTAAACCAGTAAAGAATTCATATTTAGTGGTATACCATGCATTCTTCATTGTGAAGCTCATTAACTTATACAACATAAAATTTGTCCATTTCTTTCCAAAATGATTTAAGCCATGAAGAAAGATGGATTTTTTTTTTTTAATGCTTTGAAATTTTCCGTGATAATCATATCTCAAGTACAAGAACTATGTTCAATCACTGTTCTTTATTTTTCTTTTTAATTCAAGGAGTCTTTGAATTGCACAGGAAGACACATTGACGATGAGAAAAGAAATTGAGGACCTTAGGACAAATGCCAGGATATTTCAGCTGAGCAAGTGCACTGCTTGCACTTTTACCCTTGACCTCCCAGCTGTCCACTTCATGTGTATGCACTCATTTCATCAACGTTGCCTTGGTGATAATGAAAAGGAATGCCCTGAGTGTGCTCCTGAGTACAGATCTGTAATGGAAATGAAGAGAAGCTTGGAACAGAATTCAAAAGATCAAGATCGATTCTTCCAACTAGTTAAGAGCTCGAAGGATGGGTTTTCTGTAATTGCTGAGTATTTTGGGAAGGGGGTCATTAGCAAAACTAGTAATGGTTCCACAGGAACTGTTAGATCTGGCAGCACCTCTTCCAGCAGTGGCTTCTGAATTTTGTTGATTGTTGTAATTTTTAAGTGTTCTTTCTGAAGCATATCTCTCCTCGTTCTTTGCATTGCTAGGTCAATGTTGTTTTGCATCACCATGACTGGTGGTTAATAGAGTGAGACGGGGATCGCAGCTTTGTTGGGGCACCTGCCCTTGTATAATTTTGATGGACCTATAGTTCCTTTTCCCAATTGGATTAGCTGTTCAATGGTGAGAATTCCAAAGTTCCATGGTGAGTAATTATCAGAAGGATACAGCTTGTGTAATGTTTCAAAATGGAATACTCATCTGTTGTCTTCACTCAGAAGGCACAGCAACACAGCTATGAGGGTTCCACGATTCTCACTCAACTGGTGAGTTATTGCAGCATCTATTTCTTGTGTGATTTTTCTTACTCTGAGGTTGCAAGCCAGATGTTTTCCTTCTTCTCTGGCAAAGAAAGATATCAACTCATTCTAACAATTCAAAAGTTTGTGCTATGTACAATTATTCTGGGCACATGCTAGATTTTAGGTGTGAAAACCTTGTGCTGCTTTGTAATTATCATCATATAAGTAATAAGTTGTAACTTACCGGTATGATTTGATGCAGTCTAATTTTTGGCTATTGGGTGTATGTGGGTTTTTGAAATGGTATTGTAGTTAATTGGCTTTGATTTTTGTTTAATGCCCAAAACCAGTGGCAGTTGTTCTCCCTAGTTCTGACCCATGATGGGGCAATGATCTTTGCCACTGGGTCTGGTGATGCTTAACTCTAGGATCCGACTGGGAATGGATTGGTAGGGGCAACCAATAGATGGTGGAAATCAGGGTTTGTTGTTGTGTCTAGTTCCTATTGTTCAGATGCTACTGCGAGCTGTTGTCCTGGAAAAGTAGTTGCGTCGTCACCTTTGCAAAAATGTCTCTGCCAGCTAAGTTGTGGCCTATCAGCAAACTCATCAAACCTAATTTTGTCCGAGTGCTATCAACCTGTGCACTTAAATCAAGCTTTGTTTGTCCTACCAAAATCTCTCAAGCTATGTTCATTTGAAAGGATCTAGCATGGTTGTGTTGAATGAAGTATTGGCCATGATATTTGTGATGGGGACCTACAAAAAGATTCAAATCCAACCACCGATTTTTGTTTGTGTGCCATGCGTCCTCGTATATCTGAGAATCTAGTGTTGTGAAAGGAGTGTCCTGAAGCGCTTGTAAGATTGCTTTTCGTCTCGCATGGACGTTTGCTGGTTGGGAGTTTTAACATTTTCCTTGTTTAGCCATGACGCCCGGAAACTGGTTTCTCAAATACCAGTACAACTGCTGAACCATTCAGCACTGATTGACTGATTATGAGCCCTATGTGCAAACAAGTCAGCGGTTGCAATCATGGCCTTCTGATTGTCCATGTGGTTTGTCCAAAGCATGATTTTCTGTTTATGCTGATCAATAATGAGGGAGTCATGCAACAATTGTCAATCACACTCACACTCACACTCACGTGGCCTCATTACTTGTATCTGCTGCACCAGCTCGACATGTGCCTTTGGCATTCAAAACCTTAACTCTTATCCAGGGCAAACTGGGGAACATAACTCAGCTTTTATCTAGGGACCATGGCCAACAAGTTGATCCCCGACCCTATCAGGCTATACAAACACTCCTCTTAATATGCTCATTTACGGTCCTAACCCCTTTTATTTTCATTTTGAACAAGGTGGGGAAAGGGAGTCAATGTGGGTTCTCTTTTTCTTTAAAAGCTTTTATTACTAAATTGAGACTTTACCTAATTTAAAACTTCTCCATTTAAGTCATATCAAAAGCTAAGCAATTTGGTTTTCACAAATATTAATATTGTAATTGTCATTTTCAGGCTTTTGTCTAAATATATTCTATACCATTTTAAAATTATTCATAATTTGTTCCCTTCGTTGGCTTGAATAATATATCCTCCACACACCATACGACATATCACTAAGAAGTTAATTGATTAAAACATGATTACTTTATTAATTAAATTTTAATAATTAAGTTTAAATAATCAAGAAGTGCTAAGTTATATGAATTAAGTTATTAACCTAATAAGTTATATGTTAATCAAAGCCAATTACGACTAAAGCGTTAGCTTAATTAACCTATATTAGACATATTTGGATATAATAGTAAGACTGTCATATACTTAATATTTTTATGTCATTATTCTCCAAATGTGATGCAAGTCGATTTCATATTGTGTTTGGGCAGAAGTGGCCTTTGATGAAGTTGGGTTCTAAAAGATTGCGTTACGCAACCTCTCACTAATCTATTTTATTTTCATATTAAATGGATTTGACTCTTTTTTAAAAAAGAAAAAATCAAACAAATAAATAGATGAGAATGAGGCTTACCCAAATTAATAAAAGAAAATGCGGGGCCGTCAAATTAGGATTATGGGCGAAGATGTGCTGGCTGTTCCCATTTCCAAACTCAAACACAAGCAAGACTCAATTCATCATAATCACTACCTTTTGTTCTTCGACCACAATAAATAAATAAATAATAATAATATAATTAAATTTGATTTTAATATAATAATTTTTAAATATGATTTCAACTTGAATTTCAATTTTGTTATTGCAAAAAAAAAATACTTTTTTGCTCATTTGTTTGCCAATTTTTTTAAAATATCTCAAAATTATAATTTTTTAATAGTTAATATTGTTTCCAATTTTTTTTTTATTTTTTAGCATTAAAAATTAGGAAAAATCAATTTATAAAAAAATAATATTTTAATATAAAATCAAAATATTTTTCGTAAATTTTATGAAAATTAAATAGAAATAATAAATTTAAGACAGAAAGAATAATAACAACAAAAATCCTTGTCATTAATTTAATATAAAAAAAGTAGAAGACAAATTTGAGGTATTTTTGTCGACAGGAAGAAAATTGAACCGATCCATCCACGCCTCTAATTCCAAGTCAGCAATCCTTAAAATGTGGTAGCCAAAGCCAAGAAAATAAGTGTACCCCAACTGCACCACATGCTCAACGTGGACCTGCGCCATGGTCACTTTCCCAGTCACACATCACCGTTGATTTTTGTGGCCTATTTTCGTTTAAACCTTGAACTTCATTATTGTGAGAGCTAATCAAAATTAAATCAGATAATTATTTATTTAATTTTGATAAAATAATTTAATTTGATTGGCTTATTGAATCAATTAGTTCAAAATATTTGATTCAATTGATTATTTGATCAATTCTCAATTTTAAAATTTTTGAATCAATTCATCCAAAAAACTAAACTAATTATATATATATTCAAAAAAATTGATAATAAACTTAATTAATAATATACTTAAAATATAATAGTCTATTATATGTAAGAATACAAATTATAATTATAGTACTTTAATATTGGTTATATACTTATTTATTTATAAATTTGTATTAATATGAAATTACAAGTTATATATTTTAAATGATATAACTTATATCTTGACATTATAATATATGATAGTAAATATTGCACTTATTATTAGATTATACTTATTACACCTTAGTAATATTTTATAATATAAAATATTATAAATATATATAATTGTATAAATACATTATATATATATTTAATTTATACATAAACATTACTATAACTTATAATAAATTTTATTTATATGATTATACTTAATAATTTTATTAGTTATCATTTAAGTTTTTATAACCTATTATTTATAATTAGTTAATATTTATACAAACTTTGATATAAAATTATAACATATAAGTTGTGTCATTAATTTCATATATATATATATAAAACAAAGTAATACATATAAACATATACTATATAAAATTAACAAATTACTTATGTTTATTATAAATAAGTAATTAATATTTTATAAAATAATTTAATTTAGTTAATAATTAATAAAAATATATATTATAAATAAAGAATAAAATAATATTGGTTTTGTTTATAATTTAATAATATAAGTATATTATATTATACATTAATATTAATATATTATGAATATCTAAAGAGGTTATTATTAATAATTATTCATTATATAGTAAAGTTTAATATAAATATATTAAAATTTATTATTATTTATAATTATTAATTTATTAATAAAATATAAAATGTTTAGTCTTTTGTTGTATAAGCACTTGAAGTTGTGGTTGGATGGAAAGTAAACCAAGCCTTTACCAAGTGTGAGTGAAGAAACAAATATATGTTTTTTTTTTTATGTTTAGATTTTTTGTATATTTTATAATTATAGATAAGGTTTATAAGTTTTAATATTGTAATTTGAAAAAAAATGATAAAATTTTGATCTATTAATCAAAAACCAAATCGACTGAATCAATTCTATATTTGGTAGGTTTGATCTTTTTTAATGTTTAGTGAGTTTTAGTCAATTTTCTAAAAATATTTAATCCATTTGATCTTTATTTATAATAGATTTGTTACTGATCCCACATTAATAAGAAATGAGATAAGTTGCAAGTTTTCACTCAAGCTTAAGGTGAAGTATGAGATATGTTACTATTAGATAAACTTAATTTACTACATGTTAAATTCAAATGAATGTAAGAAGGTGGTATTCCTAATTTATTATTATTGTTTTTTCATTATATTTATATAAACTATTGCTATTACTCATTTTTTTGTATGTATGAAAATGCATGGTAAGTAATAAGGGTTTATTCTTGATATTTCTTACAAATCCATAGATAAGGTGTTATACTCCCCTCTTATGTAATTTATTTTATTAATTAATAAAATAATAAATTTTTAACAAACTAGTTGGACCTTGCAAAAATTTCAACATAAAAAAACAGAAACAAAGTGGGTTTTGGGTGTATAAATATGAGTATTCCAGTATCTATTAAGTATATCTTTTAAGTTAAAAATATAGATTCATAATATATAAACTTACTTAAACTTTAAAATTAGAGCCCTATGAAAGATATAAAAGTTAAAATAAGTCTAGACTAATGTAAAAGTCTTTATCTTTTATGGGTAAAACAGGCAGTATAACAATGATATTGTATAATTTGCTGAAATAAAATGTTATAGATTTTATATTAATAAAAGTTGAGGTGGGTATTAGATATATAAATATAAATTTTTTATTATTTATTAATTATATTTTTAAAATTAAAAATATAAATTTATAATTTATAAATTTATTTAAATTTTAAATTGTACGATGCTGAATTTAAGTTTTAATTCATGATAGGATAATATGATTCTATTCACCCATTTACTTACCCTAATCACCATTC